GAGGTTAGGGATGCAGAAGCACAGAGGAGGAGGAGGAGGAGGAGGCGCAGGCACAGGGCACTTGAGGCGGCCCAGGGTGAGCAGCAACATGAGTTCAACCGCCGACTCTCCGACAAGGCACTGGAGAAATGCAATGATGAAGAACTTGAGCTGGTTTTCACTGGTGGCAGGGGAAGGACGTTCATGCAGATCATTAGCTGGGCAAGGATGAGGGCAGTCATGGCTCCCCATCCAGCTACTAGGGCCAAGTGGGCTCGTTTCTTCGAGCGTTATGACTGATGATTCTTTGTATCTACCTATCTATCTTTCTATCTGTAAGTCTATCTGAGAGAGAGTTGTGGTACTATTTGTGAGATTTTGATGAATGTATGGTACTCTCAATGACTATCTTTCTGTCTATGTAACATTTGGATGTTTCTGAATCAATGTATGCATTTGGTCAGTGACTATGTATATCTCAATTTTTCTGAATCAGCACCATCAAGTACAAAATGTTGTGAAGATGCAGATAAATTGAAGTTGCAGACAACCTAGTGCTAAATCCACAAACAATACATATTACAAACTAAATCAAATCCAACAGAAGCAAGTACTTAGTGAAGCAGTGTTATTACAAACCAAATCCAACAGTTCACTTGCATACATAACCTAGGATAATAGAGGAGTTCACATTCAACCACTTGCATAAAAGTAATCATTCAACCTCCCAGATGGCTCCCTGACCCTCTTTGACCCACCCTGCACAGCACTTCTAGCCGATTGTCTAGGAGCAATGAAAGATCCATTGCCAGCTCTATTGGCAGAAGCTGACCTGGTATTCTTTGCTGGAGAAGACCTTGATGACCTGGTGTTATTTGCTGCTGAAGAAATGGTTGTGCTCTTCTTCTTGGGAGGTGGTACTGGTGTTGCTGAAGAGGTGTTGGACCTGCTCTTCTTGAGAGGTGGTGGTGTTGTTGTTGTAGCATCAATGTTGGTGCTCCTCTTCTTGGAGGTTGATGCTTTCGCTGATGTTGTACCTGGTGCTGCTACTGATGTGGAAGCAACCCTCTTATTTGACCTAAAAGTTGTCTGTGTTGACTAATTTGTTGTTGGAGGAGTTGTTGGTGCAGGTCCAGAGGCAGCAGGTACCATTGGTGGCCATTGTGCAGTTGCAGCCATTGAAGAACCAGCCTCAGAGTAATTAGCTCTATTTTCCTACACAAGAAGATTAGTTAGTTATATTTTCCTACAAATGAAATGAATGTAACAATGCAATGAATGGAACTGAAGGAGTTACCTGATGCTTGTTGATCCTCATCTGGAATTTAGGTTTCAATGGGTCACCACAATTGTTGAATCTGTGCCCTTGCTTCTTGCAGTTGCTGCATGTCACTGTACCAATCCTAGAAGTATCCTTTTTAGTTGGCACCTCACACATGCCTTTCCTCCTGGCAGTTTGGTTTTTACCTTTCTTTTCTCTAAAAACAGGTGGATAAATATCATCACCAGGTGTATGAGGCCAATGGTCAGGACCTGGCATAGGGAATATTATGTGCTTATATATTTCACAATACATGGGTTTCATTCACATAATCTTCAGGATATATCTTCACTTTATGCATTGCAGCAATGGCATGATTGTAGGGCATAACTGTCATGTCCCACCTCCTACAGTC